AAACTAACCTAACCTATGCAATGTTCCTATGATGGTATTTATTTAGAATAAGACAGTGGAGGGAGGTTCTTCCTTAGCCCCGTTACGTGAGGGTCTATTTCTGGGTGGTTATAAATAAATGGTCACAAAGGAACCTTCAAACCAAGCTATCACAGTCGGATTGCTCTGAATCGGGCTGTCAACCATAATGATTATATCAAAAAACTTAACCAACTTGAAAGACCATTAAAATATATTAACCTCTATTATATTTTCTTTTTCAGTGTTCTCTTTTTTTTATAGGCAAGATTTACCATAAACAGTTAATAATAATTTTATGCTCTGAAATAACACTCTCTTCTCTTTCTAATGCTTTAGAATGTAATTATGTAAATATCTTGAGCCAAAAGCTGAAACAATACTGTTCTATACAATTCCTTGTAATTAAGATATAAAACTTAAAAAAATAATTTCTCAAAAATTAAGTTTTCGCAGCAAATTCTTACTATAAATATAAACCTAACAAAAAAATAAATAAATATGGTATACTTGTATTTACTTCAATGGCTTATTATATACCTATTAAAATTATAATGAAAAAATTGTGCTACCGTATATTAAAGCAAAGCCACTTTTATTGAATGTTTACATTAAAAATGGCAAAAAATATGAAAATGTCCCTCCTCTCCTCTGGGTGAGCCGATGACATTGTAAGAGTTGCGGGCAACCGTTATATGCAAATGGTAAAATGTCGTTCGTTGTGGCTTTCTTTTTAAGGTGTGTTTGAGGGTTTCTCTTTAAGGGGAAGGCCTATGATCAACAGTGGAAGTCTTGCGACTGTTGATGATGATAATGAAATTAAACATGATAAATTTTATACTGGACAAATTATTATTGTTTAGTAAGAGTACAATAATAAATTGGTATTTGTAATGTGCCACAAGTTGACTCATGGTTCCTTAAATATAAAAATAATAGATATATGTAAATAATTAAAAAACGAAATATATTGATTGAGTCACTTTTTACATGTTATGCTATATAACAGACAACGAATTATTTGATAAAAGTAATAATAATTATTCCTGTTTTGAATAAAGTACCACTTATTAAGTGAAGAGCGGTTTAATTGAAAACTAAACGAAAGTTTACCTGAACCATCTTGATTTTTTTTGCTGTTTAACCTCGTTAATGAGCATTCAACGATTGTAAATATTTAATCGTTTTATGTTATATATTTGTAAAAGTGTGATACGCATCACTTATCAATAGTTAAGACCACATTTATTATTAGTTACCTAAAGAAATTCAATTCATTAAACACATAAACAAAACAAAAAAACATTAACTAAAGAGACGCGTTTCGATCCACCATACCATGCGTAGTTCACTCACAATCACAGGCACAGATCAAATTATCAAATCGCATCACAGATGAACTCTTGGATTTTGACATAAAACATAATTATTATTTTATTATATATTTATAGTTCCAATATATTCTAAAACTTCTTAAATGCACATGAATTCAATGTACCAAGTGAGAATTATTTTGTAAGCCTTCAAATATTAAATAACCCAATTTGCGTGAGTTAGATCTAGGTAAGATCTAGATTTATTTTGAGATATTTACTAATAAGGTATGTAAAGTGAGCACTTGCATGAACCTTAGTGATTTTAAAAGATACCTAAGTTATACAGCGTGTCGTTACCATCTCGACAATAAATGGACACACGTCTAACGCTACTTGCCAATAATCATAAAAAAATATTAATGTTAAACAAAATCCATAATAAAAAAAAAATATTTTTCAAACAAACTAATTAAGTAAAAAAGAAACAAAATTTGTAACATCCTATACAACTCGCGCCACAGCGTCGCATTACAAGCCTCTCCTTCTAACAGTATGTTTTGTCTCTTTTAAATTCATTCAACCCATTCATATGCTTTGTGACCTTTAGAAATGAACTTTACGTTACGCTTTTATAGGTAAGGGTGTTCTAAAATTCTTTGTTTTGGAAAATTTAATAACTCTGTAAATATCGATGTTTAAAGAATTGAAATGTTTAATACAACTTTAAAAAGTTATCCTTTATATGTGTGTTCATTTATTGTCGCGATGGTAACGACACGCTGTATATTATAACTCCACGTGGACGAAGTCCCGGGAACAGCAAGTAATAAAAAGAATATGCGCAAAAAAAAACTAATTTTATTTTACTTATTACTTTAGTAGATATGACATCATGTGCGCTAGGCGAGATATTACGTACTTCACATTATTGGCCACAGTGCTAATGCGCTATTTTAATGTGAGCTCTTTTATTTAACTTAACACCTTGATTGGGCCTTACTTTCGCATGTAATAGACCGTGGCCGCATATGTGATTTGAGGGAGACGTTTCGTTTCGGTGCATGCATGAACAAAGGGGAAAGTAATGAAATACTGATGCAGGATTTTCGATTGAACATCATGTTTGACCTCTATCAATTACTTTCTGAGCCATTAACTGGCGCTTTAAAATTAAGATATATAACATTTAACGTTATAGTTGCGTACAGAGCTGTGCTGTCGGCGTATAAAAGCCACTCTCGGGATATTACTTTTAAAGAGAGGATATAATAATAATAATAATAAAATATCTTTATTCACATTGACGCTTGCGCGTTCTTATGAAACGTCAAAATTTTACAAGAAATGAACACGTTCGTAAGTTACCACCGGTTCGGAAAGCAGTTTCTGTTGAGAAGAAACCGGCAAGAAACTCAACAGTTGCTCTTTTTTAAAAAAAAAAATCAGTTTACAATATAATAGTACATGTACAATAGTCTTGTTTTAGGCTACGTGAGTATCAACAGTATTAACCCCACACATTGGCGTCGTCAAGATATTCAGCAATAGAATAATAGGCTTTAGCCATAAGTTTACTTTTAATTTTTCGTTTAAATTCATCAAGTGGCAGACTTAATATCGACTGTGGGATTTTATTATACATGCGCACACCTTGCCCCATGAACGACCTGTTTACTTTTTGTAAACGAAACAATGACGTAGTTAGTTTGTCCTTATTTCTAGTATTTAGTTTATGTCTGTCACTATTCTTTAGATAACTATTAATATTATTTTTAACATACAAAATATTACAATAAATATATTGAGACGCAACAGTGAGTATATTAATCTCTTTAAAAAGGTCTTTGAGTGTATTCCGGGCTCCGATGTTATAGATTGCTCGGACAGCTCTTTTTTGAAGAATAAATACAGAATTTATATCAGATGCACTACCCCACAAAAAAATGCCGTAAGACAAGATGCTGTGGAAATAACTGAAATAAACAAGTCTGGCAGTGTCGATGTCTGATAGCTGCCTAACCTTCCTAACTGCAAAAACAGCGGAGCTTAACCTGTTCGCAAGAGATGATAGATGGGGACTCCATTGGAGCTTTGAATCCACTGTAATTCCCAAGAATACAGCGGACTCAACAGGATTAAGGGTTACGCTATTTAATGTTAAGCTAAAACTTCGCCTTCTTACGCTGGGAGGGGTAAAAAGAAGGCATTTAGTTTTTTTAGCATTTAACACCATATAATTAACGGTAAACCAGTGGAGGATACGCGAAAGTGCACTATTCACGTCGTCATAATCCGACACGTTTCGGTCAACCTTAAAAATGAGCGATGTGTCGTCAGCAAACAGTACAATATCACATAACTCACTGGCATAAAAGGGGAGATCATTTATATACACTAAGAATAATAATGGACCCAAGATTGATCCTTGTGGGACACCCATTTTCATGGGGGACCCTGTGGAATTTACATCATTTATAGATACTTTTTGAATTCTATTATTAAGGTAAGAGGCAATGAGATTGAGGGCGATGTCACGAATGCCATAATAATCTAACTTTTGAAGGAGGAAAGGAAGAGGATAAGTTCAGGAAAGCCCTGAACCACGATTCAAAATTTATGTCGGCGGTTTACAAATAGTCTCGGATAATTCCCACATGTGCTCAGTGAAACACCACACGTGAAGGTCGTCGGTAATAATTTAATATTCGCATTTCTTTATCCTATTGTGAGAGTGGAATTCGGTTAGTACTTCTAGAGAATGTATCAATAAGCTGCATAATGACGATTATTTGGTACCGATCACTATACGGATCACTTATTGCTAATGGATTTGCTTTTCCATATCTATTTTTCAAAACATAATATTTATATAATTATTTATATCGTTAATTCATTACAGGGTAAATTTTTACAAATTTTCATGAAATATTTAATAAGGTCTATTTAGAAGAAAAAATTATTATATTTCATTAGAATACATCAAAATAAATTAAATGATTAAATGAAGAAACGCATTGACTGAATAATGTATTATCTTATAAACTGGCTTAGGAACCAATCGGTTTTTAATTTGATGAATTAATGATTGGAAATGGAAATCCCTGATCTGAACCGAAACCAAAACTAATAACTTGACATTGACATCCCTACGGTTGGAAAGAAAGAATTAGATAGATAATAAAAATTATAAAAATGTTAGGGGAGTGTACGCATTTTTTATTTTGATTAAGAATAACAAAAAATATTATGATTTTAAATATGTTTACAGTGGGTATTGACCTATAGCATTATATCATTAATTTGTGCTATTACTAAGCTACTCATATACCTATGTCTTTATTTCAGGTTTCATTACAGCTGTCCATAATTTTGTTGAATTTGATAATTTTTAGCAATGGATTTTATGTCCCTGGCGTGGCTCCTGTGGAATTTAAGAAAGGACAAAGAATTGAAGTCAAAGCTGTTAAAATGACAAGCATTCACACACAATTACCCTACGAGTATTATTCTTTGCCTTTATGTCTACCAAAAAATGGGACTTTTTCTTATAAGTCGGAAAATTTGGGAGAAGTCTTAAGAGGGGATAGGATAGTAAATACCCCTTATGAGGTACATATGGCGGAAAACATTAAATGTAGACTGTTATGCCATAAAAAAAATTATCCTATGAATTGGAGTGTTGAGGAATCTGAGGCTGTTGCAAGTCGGATAGAGCATGAATATTTTGTACACTTGTAAGTTCTTTTATTTAATATTTTGTAATTTGAAAAAAGTTTCACAGGGTCTCCTATTAAAAATGATATTACTTTTTTTTAGGTTGGTTGACAATTTGCCTGTAGCAACTAGGGTCATTAATAGTGACACCTCTGAAAGAAATATAGAACAGGGGTATAGACTTGGTTTCATGTCAAAAGGAAAAGCATTTATCAATAACCATTTAAAACTACTACTCAAGTATCACAAGCATAGTCAGTAAGTCGTTTTATCTTTTCATAGACTGCAAGAGGCAATGTGAAATTAAAATTTACTGCTAACTTATTTAAACCATATGAGTATCAAATTCTTTTAAAGAATTACATAGAGATGGATTAGCAAGATAATACACATCCACAGATTTCACATTAAAAACATGTATACACAGTTTTTTATAATTAAAGTAATGTAAAGTTTACTCCAAAATTCAATGTGATAATTGAATATAATATTAAATAGTGTTAAATTAAAGTAATTTCTATACAAGTCTTAACATTGACTAAGCTCAAGTATTTCTTAGCTTATTTCTAATAGCAGTAAGCTTACCTATTTGTGAAAACATAATGTGGCACTAAAATAAAGTATTTTTGCATAACATTAACATAAATTTTATAAATATTCTACACATTATTAGTGAAAGGAAACCTTTATAAATAAATTTAATGATATATAGAAACAAGACTGCAGAGTTTTAAATTAATAAATAATTTATTTTTATGGTATTAAGTTTGTAAAATTCTGAAATTTTATAAATATGTTATTGAAAAGTATTTTATTTTTTTATATCATCAGTTTAACCTTTTTGCAGAGATTCATATAGAGTTGTTGGATTTGAAGTGGAAACCTACTCTATAGACAAAGATGAACTAACATTTATTGATGACAGTTCCTGCCAATTACCTTCACATGCAAAATCTCAGTTGGTCAATGAAGATACAGGAACAAAATTATATTTTACCTATTCTGTCGAATGGGGAGAGTCTGAAATTGGTTGGGCTTCAAGATGGGACATTTATTTGGGGATGAAAGATGTTCAAATACATTGGTTTTCCATAGTAAATTCTATTGTTGTCTTATTCTTTTTATCAGGTATGTTATAGAGAAGCCAACACAATTGCTTCCACTAAAGTGGATTTGTAAGAACTTCTTGGTAATTATTTACAATATGACATTACAGTACAATGTATAAATAACTTTTTTTGGGTGATGTCACTAAATACAGGATACTTAAAAACATTATTACTTTTAAATAAAAATTAATTAGTTTCAGCATGTATTTATTATAAATTGATATGCTGGGTTCATTAAATATAAAACTTTTATTGTCATATTGTGAATAACTACCAAAAAAATAAATATTTCATCTAATGTTTACATAGGTTACTTGAAGCCAATTTAAAAAAAAATACTCAAATTGCAATGTTTATTTTTTGTTCAATAAATTTTATGCGAAACGTTAAAAAATGTACCTTCTATTATCTAATATTTTATAACTATAATTCCTTCTTTTTTCTCAGGTATATTAACAATGATTATGGTGCGAACATTGAGAAGAGACATAGCACGATATAATTCTGATGAAAGTATAGATGATATGATAGAAGAAACTGGTTGGAAATTAGTTCATGGTGATGTTTTCAGACCACCTCCAAAGCGAATGCTTTTTGCAGCTGTGATAGGAAGTGGAATACAAGTATTTTTGATGTCTCTAATTACAATTTGTAAGTTTTTATCTTTTCCCAATTTCAATAATTTTTACTAATGTTTTTAATTGTTTTAACAATGTATTAAAGTTAATAACATTGTATTTGAAGTTATGATTTTGTTACAGTTATTGCCATGTTGGGCATGTTATCACCAGCCAGTAGGGGTGCACTTATGACAGCTGCTATCTTTTTGTATGTTTTCATGGGCCTTATAGCTGGATACTATTCTGCTCGCTTATATAACACAATGAAAGGAAAACAATGGAAACAGGCTGCATTTCTTACAGCTACTATATACCCTGCTATTGTTTTTGGAACCTGTTTCTTTTTAAACTTTTTCATTATGGGCAAACATTCGAGTGGTGCAGTCCCATTTTCTACAATGATGTCATTACTCTGTTTATGGTTTTGCATATCACTGCCATTAGTTTATTTGGGTTATTATTTTGGCTGTAGAAAACAGCCTTTTCAACATCCTGTTAGGACTAACTTTATTCCCAGAAAAGTCCCAGAACAAGTTTGGTATATGAATATATTCATCTGGTATGAACGTTTTCTAACATATTGAGATAAATAATTATTTTTCGAATATAAATAATATTTATTTTAATAACTTTATATTTTTCAGTATTTTAATGGCGGGTATACTTCCATTTGGCGCCGTTTTTATAGAGCTATTTTTTATTTTCAATGCTCTATGGGAAAATCAATTTTATTATCTCTTTGGATTTCTATTTCTAGTGTTTTGCATTTTGGTAATATCTGTATCCCAAATTTCAATAGTGATGGTTTATTTTCAACTTTGTGGAGAGGTAAAAACCTACAATCACGCTGTTTTCTATTTTTTCTTCGCATTATTAATAACATTTCATGTTTTAGGATTATCATTGGTGGTGGAAGAGTTTCATTGTTTCTGGCGGGTCAGCTGTATACATTTTAATCTACTCCGTCTTTTATTTCTTTACGAAACTGGAAATCACAGAGTTTATTCCAACTTTACTTTATATTGGTTATACAGGTACTAAATATTTGTTTTTTTTTTTAGTATTCAAGCGTATAAATAAGCAAACTAATTTTCTTTTTTTCGTTTTCAGGACTTATGGTATTATCATTTTGGTTGCTAACTGGCACCATAGGATTTTTTGCAGCTTACACCTTTATTAGAAAGATTTATGCTGCTGTAAAAATTGATTAATTGAAGAAATGATTAGCAAATGTTAAAATAGAAAATGTACCAATGATGTTTTAAATTCGAGTATGATAAGAGTCACTATTTTTATATAATTTGAATTGATTGTGTGCATTACGTCGAATATTTTTTGCTGATTAGTTTGTTTGTAAATAGTTGATTATAGTGTATAATTTGTAATAAAGTAATTAAGTTGGCTTTAAATCTTATACTTATATATTTCTTTTTATGTGAAAAGTTGCCAAACGAGCAGACTGTTCACCTGATGTTAAGTGAATACCCCCGCCCATGTACATCTGCTACATCTGAGGGTTCCAGATGCGTTGCCAACCTTTTGAAAATTGGACTCCGGCCACCTCACTCACCAGACGAAACGCGAAAGTATTATACTTCGACTTTACGCTGGTCTTCTGTGAGGTCGTGGTACTTACCCGGACGAGCCAGCCCGTTCGTGCAACAGCCGAGGCTGCTGCGTGGTCCTACCACCGTGTATTCTTTTTACCGAGTTTTAACTATATGTGTATTACTGGATATAACAATAAATATAATATAAAAACAATATAATTTACGGTGGTAGGACCACGCAACAGTGTTCGCTGTTGCACAAATGGGCAGTTCCGTCCGGGTCATTACCACGACCTCACAGAAGACCGGCGTAAATTAGAAGTGTTGTACTTCTGCATTTCGTCTGGTGAGTGAGGTAGCCGGGGCCCCACATTATAAAGAGGTAGCAACGCATCTGCAACCCTACGGGTGATGTAACTGTTCATGGGCGGCGGTTATCACTTGGTGAACACAACACACAACAGGTAAACCGCCAGCTCGATTGCCACTTCCTGCAATAAAAAAATGAATAAAACAGTTATTACAGTACAGCCAGTATAAGGCTTTTGATAGTACAAAATCAACGATAGTATAGATAGTTTGGCAATTGCAATAGTATCGATACTATGGCATGCATTACTATCGATAGTATTGCTGTTATCAATATATTGGCACTTGGAGAGCCATCGATACTATCGGTAGTATTGACACGTGACAATACTATCGATAGACTACCGATACTATTGCTTTTACCTTAACTATCGATAGATAATCGTTTGTCTATCGATATGCAACACTATCGGCGAGTGTTCCGAGGCATTGTTTGGATTGATCCCGGTGACTGAAGTTCACCATCGGATATCGAAAATTTCATCCACACTGCCTCGATGTACAGCGTTCCAGCGCGATTCTCCAGGCATTTCTCTCATCAGCCTCGCACAACCAATGTAGGGTTCCACAACTGGTTAGTTGCTGCCAGCGTTCTCTCTGAACTGTTACGACCTTTAAGATCTAAGAAGAGAGCATATTCTATATATCAGGTGAGCCTCCTGCTCGTTTGCCCCTTTTTTTCCCTAAAAAAATTGATCTGGAGGACATGTGTGACATCGTGTGCGTCTTCAATCGGATTACTCCCGACCACAATATAGTGAAAGTATAGTAAGTATATATTATACGGATTACTCCCACATAGCACTTCCACTTTTTTTTTCTCTATTCCGTTGTCCGTACCTTGTATTGTTTGAATACCGTAAATGCGTACAACATGAGACTCGAAGGTAAACTGAGACTAAACTTCCATGGCATATATTATTACATGTAGTATCATTATTATTTTGGCAACACCGACAGTTCAGTTTCAAATTTGTTGTGTGAGGTTCCATACTTGCTGTCGTGAAGGATTTTTTACCAGGTGTTTTTTGAGAAATAGACATTAATTTGTTTGTGAAATATATTGTTGTACTACATATACCTCAGAACTCTGATAATTGACTAATAAGTACTGTGATTTAAATCGATTAATCAATCCCATCTTGTGAAGCATGTTCCCATAGACAAAAAAAAACTCCATGTTTTAGACTATTTGTTAAATGTTGCCAGAATAAATTTAAAATTTCCTCAAACTGGACGCATTTATTTTTATGATGGAAAATTGAGACCAGGTCTCAAATTAGGTGCTTATGAGTCAAATTACGTGCATATGTCTCAAATTTTATTCAAATCGTTAGTGGTTCAATTTCAAGTAATTAAGTAATTATGATAATTATTGATGATACATTATTTTTTTTTGTTTCAGTAATTATGTCTTCGCGAAGACGAAGAGTTCTCGGGGCGAAACCCTACCGAAATTATAGTGAGGACACTTTGAAAGCTGCTATGGCAGCAGTTGACACTGGCATGACTTTGAGGGAAGAAAAAGTTAAAATACCTCGAGCAACTTTAAATAGAAAACACCGAAGGCTACAATTAAACAAAGTCGGCCGTCCTAAAGTTTTCATTGAAGCTCTGGAGGAAGTCTTTGTGCAATCAATCATTACAGCTTCTGCTTGGGGATATCCACTATCAGGTTTAGACCTATCTTTACTCGTGAAATCACATCTAGATAGGCTAGGTCTAAATGAGACACGTTTCAAAGGTAACTTACCGGGACGATATTGGCTGGAAGGTTTTCTACGGCGCCATAAAAGCACTTTATCTGTAAGGCTCTCAGAAAATATTAAACGCCAAAGAGCTGGAGTTACGCAGGAGACATTAAAATCATACTTCCAAGAATTAAAAACCACCTTGGAGGATGTAGATCCGGCCCCAATAGTAAATTTTGACGAGACTAATATGTCTGATGACCCGGGACGCCAGAAAGTCTTGGTACGTCGAGGTATCAAGCATGCTCATAAAATCATTGACTCATCGAAATCAAGTACCTCCGTAATGTTTGCTGGGACAGCGTCAGATGTTCTGCTTCCACCGTACGTCGTTTATAAAGCGGAACATTTATATAATACTTGGACGGAAGGAGGACCCCCAAATACAGTTTACAACCGATCTCGGAGTGGATGGTTTGGCACTACAACATTTGAGGATTGGTTTTTGAAGGTCATTATTCCTTATGTTGAATCGTTTAATGGCAGAGGACCCGTGGTTGTAATTGGTGACAATCTGAGCAGTCATTTTTCATTAGATGTGATACAAAAGTGTACTGACTATAATATTAAATTTGTTTGTTTACCGGCAAATAGTACGGGGTTGTGCCAACCCCTCGATGTAGCAGTGTTTCGACCATTAAAAATAAAATGGAGGTCTGTTCTGCTGTCTTGGAAGGAAAAAAAATAGAGGAGTAATGCCGAAGCATGTTTTTCCGAGGCTTTTGAAACAAACTCTGGATAATATAGAAAATATGGGAAAAAATTTGAAGTCCGGATTTGAAGCAGCTGGGATATATCCAATTAATGAAAAAAGAGTCTTAGATAGATTGCCTACACAGGAAGATCCAGAAATCCATAATAATGCATCTCAGCAATGGTTAGAAACGTTTAAAATGTATCTCGAAGATATGCGAACAAAAGAATGCAGCACAGCCCCGAAGAAAAAAAAGGTGGCAGTTATTCCAGGTAAAGGTGTAACAGTGGAGGACTTATCCGAATCATTAAAGACTAAGACGAAACGTAATAAAACGAAAAAACAAAAAAAAAGATCGTCGATGATGAAAGCACTTCCTGCAGTGATTTAGAAGAATGGAGGGAAGCAGTTTTGAATACTGCAAACTCATCATCCGATGACAATAATGAGTTCGACACAGTGTTTTTTGATGATGTTCATGACATGTTTCCTGATGATCATGAAAGATCGGCGTCACCACGTATAACTAACATCCCACATAATGAGAACCAAGAAAATGAAGATCTGAGTGGATCTTCATTTTGTAGTTGATGTAAACCAATCGGTCTATACTGACGAACAATTTAAAGTTTCTGTACCTAGTGATGGTGGTGCTGGTTGCTCTAAAGATATCGATACAGAAATTGTAAATAATTCGGAGATTTCACCAGATTCTTTTGTTGTTGTCGAATTACTCTACAATGAGAATACGAAAAAACAAACTGAAAAGAAGTTTATTGCTCAAATTACGAACATGGTTAGCGACGGAAAAGTGACCTGTCGCTTCATGAGATGTTTTTCAGCTACAAAGGGTATTTACATATTTCCAGCAGTGGATGACATGATGACAATTGACACTTCTCGAATAATAAATACAATTAAGCCCACTCAAGTGAAAAGGGGAAAATACATTTTTAATATTAATATTTAATTATAAGACTAATAAAATTGTGTAAAATAATATTTTTTTGTGCGCACTTCAAAGCGTAGGTATGCCTAGGTATAGCCTATGTATCGCAATAAAACGTTCCTAAGAGCTTAGACTCCAATTTTGATCTCAATGTTTAAATTTTATTATAAGTTGGAAATGTTATTAATTTACTTAGTGTTAAAGGCTAATTTGAGACATGTAGGCAAATTGAGATCTCAAATTACCTTCGGTCTCAAAATCGAGATTTATGTTGATTTATTTTTTGACGATTTATGAAGAAGTTTGTTTTTTGTTTTTGATTTTATATAAATTTTTTTTTGAAGAACTAGTAAAAGATCTGGTAAGATTTGGAGATAATATTTTGTTTTATTTAATACCTCTAGTTATAACTGATTTATTATTGTTTTAATTTGCGCAAATTCAATATCTTGTTATATTTAACGTCTCAATTAACAAACATTGAAATTCTACATGGGAAACCATGACTTTTATAAGGTGTCTTATGTTTACCGCATGTTGCAGGTAAAATGAGACAAGACGAAATAAATATATATAAAAAAAACTACATTGATTGGCTCAATATTGCAATATGTTCCTATTACCTTAGATCGAGACTCATGTTCTAGTAAAATTTCAAACCATAATTATTAAGAATTACACCTTATACTGTGAATTGAAATTTAAACCTGTCTCATGTTGTATGCATTTACGGTATTACATTTGTTAATACTCAATTGAATTTTTAACACAGTAGGCAGATAAGCGGTTAAGATCATTTTGTAGCTTATGACAGTAATCTATGCTGAGTAGATCAGTAAACTTTTAGGTTGTCTGCGTACAGGAGAAAGTTGCTGTGATGAAAACATGTGTAGAT